GCTGACTGTGAGGTACAGGGTCAAAGTTTACTCAATGATGACGAATAGGGGGCGGGTCGAACCGCGCATATGTTCGCCCGCCGTGGCGAACGCGAACATGCTAGGTTCGCCAGGAACCGTTCGCTGGCGAACCGTTCGGTACATCACTACTAGTAAATTGCATTTTCTGGATGTGCTCCTCAAATCTCTATGTTCATGTATATATAGAGCTGTTACCTGGCAGTTTGGTTTGAGCAGCTCCCAACCTATTAATACAAGTGTCATATTAGAAATGGCCCTAGTAACATATAAACATATAAATTGGAGTAATATAAGCAGTGTTGCAGCGAACACTTTAATCTCCATTTTAAAATTGCTTTAGCACCCCACAGTTACAATGTAGTGGTGGGATTTCATCAGTATACCATTGATGAAACCTCTGTATCTTTTTTTTCTTGAGTCTACTGATTTTATGTGGACCCGCTGATAATTCTTAGTCTATTTTAAATACTTTTCAGCAGCACCACTCTTAGAAAATGTTCTGGGTATGCTCTCAAAATCCCTGATTTTACAACGCCAAAAACTACAAACACATAATAATAATAATACTCTGCGTACTGAGTTGAATGTTTTTGCAAATGTTCTACTTTTCAATAATGTACAACTTCAAAAATGTTTCAAATATAATTATTTTTACATTTTTAGGGCATTGAGGGAGGGTGAGGAGGATGTTGTGGAGTATGATGTACAGATAAGTGGGAACATCCTAATTTAAATGCATGAAACCTGGAGGTTAATAAACCATCAAGACATGATAGCTAGAGTCTAAAGCCCAACAAACTAACTATCTATCTATCTATCTATCTATCTATCTATGTCTGTCTATACCTGTCTCTGTCTGTCTGTCCATACCTGTCTGTTTGTATGTTTGTTTGCCTGTCTGTCTATACCTGTATCTGGTTGTCTATCTGTATGTGCATCTGTCGGTCTTTTTTTTTTGTCTCTATTTATTTATATTTATTTATAAAATATTTTATCAGGAAAGATACATTGCAATTTCTCTCGTTTTCAAGTATGTCCTGGGTCCACAAAAGCATTGCATTGATACAATAGGGTACAATGAAATACAAAAACAATAATAATACACAATAAATACAAAATTTAACATAGAACAGGTAGGAAATATATAATCAACCATGACAGATACATTCTGTCTTGAGGTATGTAGAGAGGGATCTCTTAAAGGACTTTAGGCTTGGGGAAGATTTGAAAGTGTGAGGTCGTTCTATAATTGCTCTATCTATCTATCTATCTATCTATATATATAATATCTATATCTCACTGCATATTCGTCTGTCTGTCTATCTGCCTGCCTGCCTACTGAGAGAGAGATTGAATGAGAGTGAGAAAAAAAATGACATTTCATGTTCATAGCTTTAAATTTAAATACATTTTCTAAATGAAAGTTTAATCAGTATTATTATTAAACACTAAATTATAATCCTACTGAGTTATCTGGTTATACCACTGAAATTGATCTGTTTTCTGTAGACAATATGCAGCTCTGTGCTGATTAAAATGTGTGTGTGCCTGACATGGCAACATGTTAAATTTACATGTCATGCTTTGGTAATGAGCAGGGCAAACATGAGCCATGCCTAAATGCAGCTAGCGTACTGTAATCTAATCCAGCTCCTTCTCAGCCATATTCTGGCAGGCAGTAATAGCCTGGGGTGTTCCACTCTGCTCGGAGAGTGGGATGCTATAAATATGAATTAGTCCTGAAAAAAAAAAATCTGCCTTCTAATCTAAATCCAAATGTTATGATCTGGGTTCTTCACCAACTCTAGATGGGATCCCCCAAAGCGCTTGTCACAGTTGGTGAACAATTCCAGTTTAGTTAATGAGAAAATGGAAGACATTTTTCAGGAAAGGATTTGGTTACAAGATAAATTTTATACTTTTTTAGCAGAGGTAGGAAGGCCTACAAATGCACTTTCCTAGCACAGATGTATTATTTTCATATTAGAAGCTGGTTCCTTGGCAAACTAATTTCTGAGAATCATTGCAATTGACGTAATATATTAACTATAATTTAAAATGAAATTAGGTTTTATATTCATGTAAATAACCTAGCTGCATGTTTCATTACAGACAAAGCCCTGAGAGAGCATCTTAGAGGGCCCTATACAGATTACACGGATTAGAGGAGTATGTAATAAATGCAGTGAGGACGAAAAAGAGCTAGTTGAACAAACCTCTTACTGAAGTATAATGGGTTTGCAAACATTCTTTCCAGGCTTCCATTGCATTTTTAAAAAGACTCCTTAATGGTGAAACTGAATAATCATCTTTCTGTCAGCCACATAAATAAACCACCTCGAACCACACACAATACTAATCAATTATACATCATTATTTATTTTTATTTATTTTTTTCTTCCAGCTCTCCTAGCCTAAACTATTTTCTAAAATTATACATATTTTGTGTTATCACAAATGCTTTGTTTGTCCTGGGCAAAAAATGCGTTCCAAACTCAGTTTACAGAATGAATTGTGGAAAACACCCACCAGTTTTACAACCAATAATAAGGTTAATTTCCATATTTGTACGATTGTCTCAAATTCTATCCAGAATTCCCTCATGCTGGCATTCTTGAAGAGAGCAGAACACAAAGGATCGGATTCTCTAATGGCATACTGAAGTTCCCTCATGCTGGTTTTAATATAATGAGCAAGGTGATTGGTTAAAAGTTAATTACGCCAGGTATACCTGTCACACTCGTTTGCTCCGTGCCAGACTGTTACGTGTCTCTAGGCCTTTGTCTGACTTCTCTACTGTTTGCCAGCACAAATTTGACCTCATTCAAATTTCTTTGATGTATTCCAGAATTCCATTTGATTTATAGACAAGAAATTCATTAAGGGGCTTGCAGGAAATCTAGGGCCGAACAATTATACCATTTTAAAATACTAATGCTTGGTTTGTGGTTTCCTAGAGACACATTTTAGCAACTTTGGAAAGTGGGTTCTTTCCTTTTAATATTGATTACATACATTTCCAGAGGAGTTAACCCTTCCATAATTGTAGGACGCTATTGTAAAGACGTAAAGTAATATGTAGCAGGCTGATGCCGCAGTTAAACATTAAACTCTATAAATATAGAACACTGTGCATCTCCACAGAAGGAGTTAAAAATAAGTAGATAATTATATGTTTAGATAGGTGCATTAAAAGACTAAGGGGCATATTCTGCTGGCTTCGGGCACAAGCCTTCTTGCTGTCAAAAGCAGTTTTTGCCGGAAGGTGCCGAATCGGTGATGTGAACCATTAAGAATATGGCCCCGTACTACTTTCATACACATACTGATTAATACAATGGTCAAAATTGACCAAATTCTCCCGGATGAAGAACTAGGACAAATAAAAATACACAAACACACATATATATATATATATATATATATATATATATATATATACACAAATATAGACACATCCACACATTTTCACTAATGCCAGTGGGATTTTTGTATTGTTTATTGTTCATTTGATAAGTGTATATAGTTAGTGGGGATTTTTTATTTTCCTTCCTGCCATCTAATGTTTTATAAAATACAAGGTCACACCATCACAATTAATTAAAAAATAATTTGTCCTGACAAGAATTTTATTTGTTCCTGAATGAAAGCCCAGGAGTGAACAGAGCGAACACAATCTCACCTTGCAAAAACCCTCATAGAATTTAACCCACCAAATTAACACTTTTATATTACTTAGTTTTAGGGTATTATTCATGAAACCTCCTTTTTACAAATTTTCATGAATTCAGAAAAGAGGTGAGTGAGTGAACGGTCTTCACAGCACTGGCCACTTTTACTGTTAGTGTGTCACTAATATCTGCATAGAGGGTCTGCGCTTTATAGCTTGCTGGGGAATAAATACTGGCATTTTCTAAATTAAGAATAATGATAGCAGTACCATTTATGTTTAGTTAAGATATATTTAGAAATAAAATAAAAACATTTCTTACCATAAAGTACTTTTATTTTGTCAAAAATTATCTGAAAAGATATTTGAACAGGTGTACACAGTTCTGTTTAAATACATAATTTTTGTGTATGAGCCATCCATGTTATAAATATGATAACATAGACACTGTAGAAGCAATGCTAATAACCTAGTCCTAGTCATTTCCATTCCAGTAATATGGGTTCTTTCATGTAACAGGATTGTCGGCAACAAGTGCCACAGAAATCTAATAAAGGGCAATAGTGGCACCCAGTGGTAAATTAAGTTGCTCTGATCAAAACTTGGTTGAAGAACCTGAATGGTTTCTTTATCGTACATATGTTGTTTAAAGTCTACCTGTCATTGCAGATTAATAGCAAATGAACGTTTTGAATAATAATACAATTGCAATATTTAACTTTTAGGGCGTAAAATATCTCCAAGTTTCATATTTTTCATGCAAAATTTAGGCACAGCTGTGCTATTCTTCTCCATTTACTAGATCTTTAGAGACAATCAATAAGCTTTATTTTGTTTATTACAGTCCTGTTAGGAAATATTCACTGTTGGTAGTAATAACACTACCTTTTAGATTTAATCACAGTGTCGATGCTCCTTATAAAACCTTTAATTTGATGGATTGCATGAACTAACCAATTTAAAGGACAGCTGTCACCAAATGTTCACTTCTCATTTTTTAAAAGTGTATTACATTTATTGAAACTTAAACGGTCATTCCACTTCCAAAATACAAAAATAGAAATCACCGTTTAGTAGATATACCCCAAATACATTATACATTATATATTATGCATTTTTTTCATTGATGGTATATTTAAAAACAGCTTGCAAGGGGGCGGAGCCTGACCTCGAAGGAAGATGGACGCTTGATTCCTGAGCTCTCTCTCCCCACGGCATGTGAATCTACTGACATCGCAATCCCCCGTAGTCACAACCATCCCAAACCAACATTGAACGATACCACTTACCCTACCCGACCTCCGAAACAATGGGCGGCGGGAAAAAGAAAAAGGAGCAAACTCCATCGGTTGCAACACTCTTCCGCACACCAACCGCCTCGCAGAGGACTACAGGCTCCCAACTAACAGAAGAAGAAGACTCGGGGCCAGAGGATACCATCCCCCTACCGGACCCTACGGCCCCACTTACGATCGGGGTACTACGCGGCATGCTTCGTGAGGCAACGGCCGACATTAAAACCCACGTGGCCGCGGAAATCACCAAACAGCTCGAGGGCCTCAAAACCGAAATGGCCACCCTCGCCTCCAGGACGGGACAGACAGAGAACCGCATCTCTAAACTGGAATCATCCACGCAGGAACATGCGCAAGACATCGCCTATTTCCACGGCAAAATCGCAGCCCTGGAGGACGGCATGGAAGACCTGAATAATAGGTCGCGGAGAAACAATATCCGAATCCGCGGCCTACCTGAGGCGGTCACCCAAGAACAGCTACTTCCCACGCTCAAGGCTATTTTTCAAGAGATGGCCCCTGACCTTACCCCAAATGACTTGGAAATTGACAGGGTACATCGGGCCTTGAAACCGCCCAATCTTAACCAAGCCACTCCGAGGGACATCATCACCCGCCTCCACCACTTCTCGGCAAAGGAAAAACTGACCCAAGCAGCCAGATACAAACAGCCCAAATTCAAAGGCATCAGTCTTACCTTCTTCCAGGACCTCTCCCCACTAACGCTGAAGAAGCGAAGGGACCTCAAACCCCTCACCTTGGCCCTCCAACAACAGGGACTGAAATACGTATGGGGCCACCCCTTTAAACTGATCGTCAGGAAAGACGAACAAGCACACATACTCCTGCACCCGACGGAGATGGGACCCTTCGCGGAATCGCTGGGGGTCCAATTGTTACAACACCCCCCCCGTACCCCGCCGAGAAACAGACACCCGCCCGGATACTGGACCCCGCTCACCTCGTCCACCCAAAAAGAAAAGGCCACAACAGCAGGATCCGGAGACCGGCCAAGCATCGCAGGACTGGTAACCGTACCACTCCCCCGACCCCAGCACCACCCGCACCAAAACACCACTCCCCAGAAACACCATGAACTTACCAGATACACCACTGCATCATAGCCAACTCCTCCGAAGGAAGAAGCCTGGACCTCCTACTCACACCGAGCACTACTCCGGCAGAAGGATTTGCCCCGATCATCAAGAGCAGACCCCGCCGGAAACCGCATCCTCCAGCACTCCTCCGCGGACGGGGCAATGGCACCGGGCTAGGCACAGACGACTCCCCTACCTAGCCTGGGACAGAGAACTCTCCCCCCGGACTTTAACATAGAACAGCAAGTATGCCAAGGGGACTTGGGGTGGGATCGGGGGGGGGGGCGGGGAGATCTGGTCGGACTGGCTTTGCCCCGGGCACCCTAGCGGAACCCCCCAGCTATTGGGCAAATCTTCTTACGCCCCCCAAGGAGCACCCCCTGTGCTGTACGTGCCCCCTCCCCCCCCCCCGCCCGCACGCACGCATGCCTTTAACCTTACCGGGTCACCTAGGACATACCCCCACATGCCCGCAAACCTATCTACGGAGGGAACACCGCTACACACCCATGGTAGGATATAGCCGGCCCGGTGTCACACACTTAAGCTCCACAGCAGGGCCCTACCCCCCCCACAGGCATTATAACTCTGTACTATCACCCCCCCTTAATGAATGAATGAAAAAAAAAACTAAAAAAAAACACAATATAAAAGGGGCAACTCTAATAGAGGGCAAAGGGTAGGGAGTGACGATCACTACGCCCCCGGGCACACCTCTATCCCGGCTATGGGGACCATTAGAACTCACAGCTCAGACCGGAAGACGCCCTCACCTTAAAAGGCTCCCACCCCGACTCACACCGGGCCAAATAACAAGGACATAATCTTAGTCCCCCTGTTCCACCAGTGATACATAGCCCTGACCCCAATACTACCGAGTTATACTCAGCCAAGGAATGGGCCCGCTCCCACAATACTCCTGCACAGCCCAGACGCCCCTTATCCCACGGACAGAAACCACTAGAGGAGACCGGGCACCCCAATACTTGGCCCCTCCAACACAGCATTCCCCCACCCCTACCCTCAATGCCCCCAAACCTAAACAATACCTCTTTACACAACTGCGGGTAACTGCATCCTAACTTTCCTTTCTGTTCAATGTTGTTCATTGTTGTTCAATCATACCTTGGTATGTTGTTTTTTTTTTTGTTTTTTTTTTCCATGTTAGCTCCTATCCGGAGTGGTACTCTATCCCCGGACGTTGAAGACATTGAATTGGAAACGGGACTGACCCCCACCTCAATGTCACTTCTCACGAACCACCGACCATACTCCAAGACAGCCACCCCGGACGCCTACTAACCTCCGTTCCTCACCTGTGACTCCACAACATGACCATTCACGGCCTCACCCAGGACCACTGTCCACGGAAATCCTCAACCGTGAGTGAACTACACAACTCCGTGCTGCTGGGGAGAGGAGGAAAGGAACGTGAAAACCTTCCTCTCTTCCCCCCCAGACCCACACGAACGCCCGTGACAGGGCGCAACGTACACACGACCCCCACCGCTCAGGCTACACCAACACCCCCCACGAACGACACTACCTGGCAGGGAACCCATAAGACCAGGGACCCTACAAACCCGACCCCCAACACCCGCACACACCCGCCCGAGACACCAACCCCCCCCCACCCCTTACCCCATAACCCCCCCGAGCAGCTATCCATCTCCCCCCCCATCCACCACACCCGAGATGCCCAGGTCGCTCTCGTGCGTGTCGCTCAATTGTAAGGGGCTCAACAACCCAGCTAAAAGACACCAACTCTTGCGGTGGGCGACCCGCTCGCGGGCGGACCTGATCCTCCTACAAGAAACACATTACGTAGACTCCAGACCCTTCCCTTTACGCAACAAACACTACACCACATGCCACCTAGCCAATTCCTACCGCGGCAAACACAACGGAGTGGCTATCCTGATCCACAAATCCTGCCCGATTCACTTTACGCGCGCTATCCCAGACCCCCAGGGCAGATATCTCACGATAGTGGGCCATCTCGGGACCCACAAATACGCGATCACCTCCGTTTACGCCCCGAACACCCCTGACCCATCCTTCTGGACGACCCTCACAGCACACCTAAAACTGTTCAGCTCCCACCACCTAGTTGTAGGGGGAGATTTTAATGCAACTATGGACCCAAAGCTAGACCGGAAACGCCCCACATCCCAGGCGAGAGGTCCAACGCCCTACCCCACAAGATTAGACAAGCTACTCTCCAACTTCGCACTCCACACGAACCTCCTCGACATATGGAGACTACAACACCCCAACACTCTGGATTTCTCCTTCTATTCGCACCCTCACACCTCATACTCTAGAATTGACATGTTCCTACTCTCCCCCTCCCTACTACCTCAGACCACAAACACGACAATTGGGACCATAGCATGGTCCGACCACGCGGAAATCTCCCTAAAATTAGACATCCCCCTAGCGATTAAATCCTGGAACTGGAGACTAAACCCCACTTTACTACAAAAAACGGACATTACGAAGGACACACGCACAGCCATAGAAAACTATTTTACCGAAAACTCGACCTCGGTCACCTCATCCAGCTCACTATGGGCAGCACATAAGGCGGTGGTCAGAGGCACACTAATTGAACAGGCCACCAGACTCAAAAAACAGAAGCTCAAAGAATTAGAACACCACATAACCTCCCTAAGAATCGCCTCGGCCCAACACAAAATCGATCCCTCCCCAGACAAGCTAGCGCAAATTCAAACCCACCAACGGGCTATTAAAACTTTCATGGCCAAAGACTCCCAAAAGGCGCTCCTATGGACTAAACAACTATTCTACGATAAATCCAATAAAGCGGACTCGCTTTTAGCCCGCAAACTCCGCCAAAAAACGCGAACCAAAAGTATCGACGAAATCCATTCACCTGGAGGCACCAGGCACATCACCCCTGACAGAATCGCCGCCACCTTTGCCGCATACTTCACGGAACTCTATGACCATAGCACACATCCTAAACATAAACAATCCCATCCGATTGACCCCCAAACCATCGACTCTTACCTCCGAGACATCCCCCTCCCTGCTCTAGCGGAAGAAACCAAACAACGCCTCACCTCACCCGTCACAACAGAAGAAATTGCCTCCACAATCAAATCACTCAAACCCCATAAATGCCCGGGCCCGGATGGCTTTACGGGCCAATACTACAAAACATTCTCAGCGGTCCTCCTCCCACATCTCGCCACGCTCTATAATTCATTACTCGAGGGAGAGACACTACCTGCTGACATGCTGAGGTCTAACATCAGCTTAATCCCGAAACCCAACAAAACACTCACAGACCCAGGCCACTACAGGCCGATCTCCCTCCTCAATGTAGACATCAAAATCTTCACAAAACTCCTGGCGAACCGCATCCAATACCACCTACCCAAATTAATCCACCCCGACCAAGTGGGATTTATCCCTTCCCGACAGGCCAGCGATAACACCAGACGCACATTAGATCTCATTTGGGTAGCAACACACCGGAAGATCCCGACCCTCCTCCTGTCCATGGACGCCGAGAAGGCATTTGACCGCCTCCTATGGCCTTTCTTATTCGCCGTCCTCAAAAAATTTGGCATCCCCGACCCTCTGATAGAGGCCCTGACTTCCCTCTATAACAGCCCAACGGCCACCCTCCTTATACCCAACGCCATCCCAACATCGATTACGATTAAAAACGGAACCAGACAGGGCTGCCCCCTATCCACGCTCCTCTTCGCCCTCTCCCTTGAACCCTTATTACAAAAAATACGCAAATCCCCACTAATCACCGGCATTACCGTGAGACAAAACGAATACAAAATTTCGGCCTATGCCGATGATATTCTCCTCACACTTACAAACCCACGCCAATCCATACCCCCCCTACTGGCTCTATTGGACGAATACGCGGCAGTCTCAGGGTACAAATTAAACTTAGACAAAACCGAATCACTCCCAATTGGGATACCGGAACGTGACCTGAACGACTTACGACGCTCACACCCATTCAAGTACAACGACACTAACATCCCATATCTCGGCATATCTCTGCCGGCCAACCCCGACTCCACGTACGAATTGAACTACCCCCCCCTTATTCGCCAGGCCTATACAGACCTCCAGACCTGGACAACCATGCCCATCTCATGGATGGGGAGGATAGCCTCCATTAAAATGAACTTACTCCCAAGATTCCTGTACCTATTCCAGACCCTACCCATCCCCATTGTCCGAAAGGACTTCAAAGCACTCCAAACAAAAATTGACAATTTCATTTGGGCTAACAGAAAACCCAGGATACGGAGATCCACAATGTACAAAAGCACGAAAACAGGGGGTCTGGGGCTCCCCAACTTTCTACACTATTTCCAGGCGGCCCAATTGACACAAATTCAACACCTACATGCCCCCCCAGGATTAAAGATATGGGTAGATCTCGAACATGACCTACTGGGAAGGGACCATCCCTCACTACTCCTCTGGGTCCCCAAACAATCCAGACCCTCCACTCCACAAACGTCCCCAGCCCTTAACACCTCTTTTCAGATATGGGATAAGACCATACAGAAAACCAAACTAGTTAACTCCCCCTCACCTCTAACCCCAATCTTACGGAACAAACAATTCCCCCCCGGGATGAACCCCAGAGACTTTGCGCACTTCGAAGACAATGAGCTCTTCCGTTTCTACCACTTCTTCCAATCCAATCACCTGCTCCAATTCTCAGACCTACCAGGGCACACACCACTGACCACCTTTGACCACTTCCGCTACCTTCAGATCCGCAGCTTCCTCCAACACCCCCTCCACTCCTCTACAGCCATCACCACCATGACCCAATTCGAACACCACTGCATACACTCTCCGATACGCAAAGGCCAAATCTCCTGCATTTACCTCCAACTGAACTCCGCCTCCCCGATGGAAGCACTCGCATACACCAAAACGTGGGAAAGAGATATCGGCCCCCCCACAGACCCGTCAGATTGGCCGGCAATATGGGAGGCAACTGCTTCCCTCACCAT